CAGGGGAATAAGCATGGATAAGGGGGTGGGTAGGGCGGGAAAGCGGCTCGGTACGCGCCCCTCCCTGTGCCCGCTGCAGAGCCGCTGCCCCGACGGGGTCCCCGGGCAGGTTCCCAGCGCATCTGCCCCATCGGGCCCCGCCGGTAGCGCTGGACCGTCTCCGCCCTGCACCTAAAATACGCGGGCTTTGAAGCAGGTATCTGGGGGGCTCTGCAGCCCTCCCGTCCCAGCTCCGACCATCTCCAGGAAGCGCACGCCACTCGGCAACGGGCCTAATTCTTCACTGCCCGTTATCAACGGCGACCGCAATCAGCCCAGGGCGGTGTGGTCTCCAAAACTTAATAAGGCAAACCAACGAAATAACAATACTAATACCAAGGACAATAATAATAACAATAATATCCGTCTGGTGTTTGAAGGGGCCCTCTTTCTTCTTGCGCTCTTCAGAGACCTCTGAACTCAGTGATTTATTTGCCACAGACTGGGCTGCAGGTCGGACTCATCGTCTTCTCTGCAAGGGGCTGAAGGGGACAGTCCTTGTCCCTTTCCCGGCCTCTCAGCTCCGTCTCTCCCTTGTAATTGTCCCTGTGTAGTCCCGCGCACAGATGAGACACTCGGACTACGCCGTCCCTTCCCTCCAGCCCCGCGAGATGGGGCCGAGTCTCTCCTGATGTGCTGCCTGCACCGCGTGACTGTTCTCGTTTCTCGCTTTGAGATATAAATATATACATGCATATATATATATATTTGTATATGTGTACACACACACATACACACGCATACACATCTGTGTGTGTGAATCTATGCAGCCTCAGATTGCTGAAACTTTTATTCATCATCGCTTCTTGCTTGTGTTTCCTCTGTAAGATTCACAGCTTCGCAGGATCTAAGGGAAGCCGAGTGGGGAACGCAGAAAAGTCTATCCTTGCCTGCTTTTGTGTTTCTGAGCCAGAATGAGCTGCAGCCCTGTTTGACCCTTACACAGGTATAAAGTGGGGAGGGTTTTTAATTTCAATACATACCGAGTGACCTGACACACTCAGTTAAACTATTCATAGGACTACAAATGTGAACTGACTTCCCCTGCATTATGTCCACCACAACTCACTTGGCGCTTGGAAACAGATACTACAGATACATTACGAACACTGTATTATTCCATAGCAAAAGCGACCTAGGCAAGCAAGTGAAACTGCCGGTGCCAATCTCTCAGTGTATCCTTTAAAATATTTCGCAAGGCTTTCTAAAAGAGATCGAACTTTGTTGCCTTCTAAATTGTAGCAGCAATAATAACGGTGGTGGTGATAGTGTAGCACATGAGAAATGGATATAAAAATGGTCTGATCTAGAGAAGACCCAGGTGCTGGACGCTGCCACCCAGAGCTGTGCATTTTCCGCCTGATGTCATGTTGCTGCCATGGGAGTACGGAGGTTCTGGTGGTGGTGTTTGAAAGTAACCTACGTTTAATATTTATCACTTTCCTTCCTGCTCTGAAAACGGAATGAAAGCCCTGCTCTCAGCAATTTTTTGTCGGAGCAGCCTGATTTCTCCCATTAACTCAAGCAAGGCTTCCCACGGGGAGGAGAGGGAGAGCGCTGCCTGCGAGCCCCCTCTGCAGCTAGAAGCACTAAGATTTTTTTTTTCTCTCCCTTCCCCCCCCCGCCCCCAGTTTTTCAAGTGAGCCCTCTCCGGAGGTGCCGAGGAGAGCCCGGCCGCTGCAGCTCCGCGGCGCTGCCAGGGGCGAAGC